CCACCCACATACAGTGTACAGCGTATGATGTCAAATTTGGATCGTACTTTGAACATTAGCTTCAAAGCAATACCTACAAAACCCGCTAGTCTCTACTCTGCCATTAACTTTACATTGAGCATTTCAAACCCTCACACATTTGAACCTTAAATGCAATTTTAAAACAAGTGCCCTCAAAGTGCGGGCCTGCACCACAACACCTTGATGCAGGTGGCGCGGCGCCCCGCTGGACCACAAGACGCCACGGGCCGCCGCTCGGCCGACCCGATGTGCGTTACGTCCAGCGCGCAATCTGTCAGGCGTCGGCGAGCGGAGCTCTGCGGAGCCGTGCGGTGGGGCAGGGCGACTTACAGCTCGGTCGTATCATTCGCCGCATAAGTCACAGATTAGTTCGGGCCGTGTGTGTGTCCGCGCCCGCGCTCTCCATGACAGTGGGGCGAGCCAATGCGTGTGAGTGTTGGGGGGGGGGGGGGGGTATAGAGAGAGAAAAAGAGATGCAAGGCGTAACGCCGTGAGCAAATAAAACCCGACTCGACTCCACCGTGAGACTGTATGAGCGCAATGCAAATAGCAGCAGCAGTGGGTCGCGTTACATATCATATTGTGCGTTGACGCGGAGGGAACGTGAACAGGGTGGCGGCAGCGGCTGTGGCGAGGAAAAGGTTAAGGGCCACGCCCTCAACCGAGCAGGCTGACGAGGGCACGCGTGCACAGTCAGGCCAGCCGGGAGCAGAGTATCAGCCAGGGCTCGTCAAGTAAAAGCGCCTACCACGTAGGCAAGCCCGCGACGCTGGGCTGTAAGGCGGGCTTGCCTACCAAAAGCGCCTGCCAGGCAGGCAAGCCCGTAACGCAGCCCTGTTGAGCGGGATTGCCTACCGAAAGCGCCTGCCACGCAGGCAAGCCCGTAAAGCAGCCCCGTTGGGCGGACTTGCCTACCTAAAGCGCCGGCCCCGCCCTGGTCTACCCGCCCCTGCAGCGCGCGGCAAAGCCCCACTAGCGACACCACTCCACTCTGCCCAGCTGGCCGCGGCGGGGCGAGTCTAGCCCCCACCAGCGCCGGCGCTCGCGCGCCAAGTGAGAAAGAAAGTATGGGAATGGAGCCTCATACTCGCATTGTCGCGTGGGAACTGGAGGTGCTGCAGTGGCGCGGCATGGGCGCTCCTCGATCGCGATGGAGCAGAGGGAGACGCGATAGAGGGGACCAACATCGAGGTGACAGGCAGCGAGAGCACCTGACGTACAACTCCGACTGTCATTTTACGCACTTTCGCGGGCGTAAAATGAATAAAAACTAAAAACCGGCGTTGTGGATCATTAGCACGCCGCCGTTTGGCGCTTTCGTGAGTCTGGCGGTGCCGGGCCGGTGCCGGGCCGGGGTGCCCATAACATGACAGGCACGAAGGCGATGAAGCCCGGCAGACGCTCCGCCTGCCTGGTCGGTATGAGGTCTGTTTTTCGAGCGGCGGGCGTGGAGGAGAGCCGTAATCCGTGGCATATCGTCCTCACGAGAGAGCCATCAACCTTTCCTGAATTGCCGCGCGGCGGTCCTGCCTGTCTGTCTGGAAAACGGCGAGCGGAGGAGGAGGAAAGATTTGCGAGAGCGGCTGCTATCTGGCACCGGCGCGTTAGGCTGTCAATCACACGAGTGGGAGGCTGCGGTCCGGGCGGCCGTGTTAACAGACAGCGCACGACGGAGCGAAGCAGGCTCCGGGCTCCGGCCCGTCGGCTGGGGTCCCACCGGCCGGTCTCACTGCAGCAGTATGGGGTATCGGACACTGCGCTCCAGTCCCGACCTATGTTGCAATTAGTCCGCGAGCCTCGGCAGAGTATTGATTTAAGACGCCTGACTCCCCCTCTCCCTCCCTCTCCTGGCGGGGCCCCCGGAGCCGGCTGGAGGGGGCTGGAGGGG